CCACCTTAGGTGTATGTGGCTGGCGCCTTAGCCGCTTGAGCCACAGGCGCCGAGCCAGAAACAGTGACTTCTATAAAAAATTCTTAAGATCTGGAACCCTGGAGATTATCAATTTTGTAAACTGTGATGGGCAGTCACCTCGCTGGCCAGGAATCTAGACAGAGAATGAGAATACAAATAAAAATAATAAGAAGAACTTAACCTTCTTATCATATAGGTATAAAGTTTATAAAACAGTCTCATACATCTTATCTTAAGTGAAGTTACCAATTGTGTTCGAGGGGGAATGGTATTATTTACTCCATGTTTTAAATGAATAAATTTAAAGTTCTGAAGTGTTGAGGGTTTTAACGAAAGCTTTGTTATCTCTGTGTGATGAGCCAGGATGAGAACCCAGGTGTGGTTATCCTAATCCTAGCATTCGAAAAGGTGCATTATTCTAGTAAAATTTCTTCCTGTGAATTACTTTGGAAGTCAGCACTGGCCCTTCCCCTCCCGTGTCTCAGCACCCACCTGCTGAACCACCCACTTCACGGAAAGCCTGAGCCATGAGAAAAGCTGAGCTTCAGCAAAACGTATTTCCAATTCCATTGTCATTTGTAGTATTTCAGTCTCTTACCAAGGACAACTAACTTTGAAGGAAACTAAATACAGACAGTCCCCAACACAAACTGGCTTCTAGGGGACTAAATAATCTACAAATGTCAGCAAGAAATGGAAACTCAAGAAAGGGGTTCCAACCAATATATGTATTACTACATACTAGCTGTCGTGCTATGAAAAAACGGTATCTATTTGTAGAACATTTTCCTCAATGGACAGATAAACATGGGGAATATTTCTGTTACCAAAATTATAGAAAAACAATATTTCTAACAAAACATAGGGTTTAGTGGCTGGAAATTATTCATTCTAGGGAACCTGAATACCTGAAAACATAAAAAGCTCCTAAATTTATATATTTTTTTTATTGTATGTCACCATATTTTATGTATTCTATGGTAATGCTTGCTAAAATGTAAAAACAAATATATAAATGCAAGGCATTATTGTTAATAAAAAGATAGGCTCTGATAAGACAGCTTGTTCATTTCATATATGAGAAGGTATACAAATAGAAACAAAATATTTTTACATACTTTTTGTGAGATTATGTAAAAGCAATCAAAAAGAATAGTAGGAACAGAATCGGCTTCTTTGCATCTGTTTAAAATCAGATATTTCTGACTTAATTTATCTTATATTACATTCTTAGGAAATAGAAATCCAAAGCATTATGGGAAACATTTGGTAAAGCTTAAAGTTTATTTCAAGTCGATTTCCATGAAGTACAGAGTACAGAAACATATCAAAACATTTGAGAAATTTTAATATTTTTTATTTAAGATTGTGTGCACGAATGTGCATTTGTGACATAGGTTTACCAAACAGCAAGGTTTACCTTGCTTAAAATGCTTCGGAGGAGACTGCATATAACACGTCCACATGAAACTCAGTGTGCCAGCCCCATTTCATATGGGATCGTTTAGGCCCCTGAGGGACCAGAACACAGAGGGAAATTTTAAGAATTTGCTTCCATCTCCAAATCTCATGTCACTGAATTTAATTAATGGAATAATAATAAAATAATGAAGATTATCATCGTATTATTGCTGCTGTCAGTACTATAAATAATAATTAATAGTTTTCCAACTTACTATGAACTTAGATACTGTTATGTGTTTGGTTAATCAATTCAGATAATTCCAACAAGTAATTTTCATATAGAGGATACTATTATTATTTTTGTCTATTTGTTTTTTAGACAGAGTCTCACTCTGTTGCTCCCAGGGGTCTTTAAACTACAGCCTGCAGGCCACATGCGGCCCACCGAGGACATTTATCTGGCCCGCTGAGTGTTTTTGCCACTGCTGCCTGTCCTGCTTAGCAGCCAACTTGTCCCGGGGCCCGCAGTCCGGCCCTCCAATGGTCTGAGGGACAGTGAACTGGCCCCCTATTTAAAGAGTTTCAGGACCCTTGTTAGGCTATACTGCCATGCTATAACAGCTCACAATAATCTCAAATTCCTAGGCTCAAGCAGTTGCTTCCCTGAGCTTCCCAAGTAGCTGGGACTACAGACATCTGCCACAATGTCCAGCTAGACCAAGCCACCTGCATCAGCCTCCCACAGTGCTAGGATAACAGGTGTGAGCCACTGCACCTAGGCTTACTATGAGTATCTTAATTTTAAAAATAAAGGAACCAAAGTAGACAGAAGCTAATTGACTTTCCCGAGTAACAAAGCAAGAGGTAGCTGACTTAGATGCATTCCCAGGCAGCCTTATCCACTATTCTGCACTACCTGGATTTCAGATCCAAGTTCTGTGATCTTTTCTGCAATGTAAGCTACCAGTAGTTAGTGTGGCACATGTTCACAGGTTCCCGTGCTTCATGTGTGAGTAAAGCAAAGTACGGTACCTCAGAGTAATTCGAATATCGGGATTAACATCTTTGGAGCTGTATGTCCCATCTTTTTGTGTATCTCTGTGAGGGGAGGGTGTGTTTATGTTAGGTGCAAAAGAAGTTATTATAGAAAGGCAGAAAAGAAGGGGAGTATTGACTCAGAAGAGTTCTCCCCCTAGAATTTCAGAATGTATTTACAACTTCTTGGTTTCCCCTTTCTACTCTAAGCAAACAGGTACTATTTCACTTTTATATTCCCATGACTCCTATAAACATCAAAAGCAGTATGGAGTGATTCACTACCTGACCTGAAATGGCCTCACTGTGAGCTCTCAAGATAGAGGAAATAATTCTACTCATGCTAATCCCTCTGAATTCTAAGGATTTTAGAAAATGCTTCACAAAACCAGCTCTAGGTCCACAAATACCACTTATGAGAAGCTGCCCAGATTGACAAGGGGAGGGCACAACCCTCCACAGCACAGCTCATAGCTCTCCCTCCAGGGAAGTCACCTACCCTATCAGTTTTCCCTTCGGTCTGGATGCTGGTGTGACTACGGACCTCATGATCCTCTTCCAGATCAGAAACATCCTCCAGTTCCTCTGGGGTCTGTGAAAAGAAAGCAAAACCCTGGTGAGAGAAATGTAAATTGAGGTAGCCATTTTGGAAAACAGTTTGGCAATAACAGAATTACCACGTGACCTAGCAATTCCACTCTTAGTTATATACCCAATAGAAACGAAGGTGGCTATCCACACAAAAACTTATACACAATGATCACAGCAGCATCGTTCATTATAGCTAAAAAGAGGAAACCACTCAAACATCTACAGATGCATAAATAAACAAAATATATCTATATGATGGACTAGAATTTGGTCATATAGGAACAGGGACAGATAGGTGCTAAAATGAAGGTGAACATTGAAAACTAAGCTATGTGAAAAATCCAGTCGCAAAGGACCACATATGATAAGAGTCCACGTATATGAAATATCTAGAATCGGTGAATCTATAGAGAAAGAGATTTGATTAGTGGTTTTCAGGGCTGAGGGGAAGACGGAACAGGTAATGATTGCTAAAGGGTGAGTGACTTCTCTTGGGATGGTTACAATGTTCTGTGATCTGTTTATTATACATGTCTGTTGTTGACGACTCGGGTTCTACTCTCCCAGTAGTGACATATAACTTCATCATCCATGTCAGTATTTTACTCAACCCTCAAATAAAGCAACATAACAGAAACGAATTACAACTGCTGTTATCAAAAGTCAGAGTACTGTTTTTGCTGGCAATATTGCAGGAAGACAGAGCCTACCATATTCACACCCACATATGTCTGTGCTTCCCTTTGTATTTAATGTGGGACTAATAGTTTTTTTGAAAAGCCATCAGCGCTGACCTCTTCTTTTCATAAGTAAAATCAGCGGGGGAGTGTTCAAAACACATGCTGGCAGCATTTTACATTCTGTAAGGCAAAATGTTAGATGGTATTGGGAAAATAAAAACTTGAATACACAATATTACTGCTTAAATTAAGTGGAAACTAAGAAAGAGGAGAACGTGAATCATTAGGGGACAATGCATTTACTCCTTCAGCCTTGAAGACAAATCATAGAAAGAATAACATTTAAAAGGAGACGAGAAGGCCTATGGGCTACCTTAGGTCAAGCACTCTGAAAAATAGTTCACTTTTGACTCATCTGGTAACTCTAAAAATTTAAACATTCAGAGGGGTGTGAGTGTGTGTATGTCTGTATCTCATCAATTTTCATTTCAAGAAAGAAAAGATTAACTATCTTAGAGGCAGTGTCATAGAGTAGAACAGCCTTATCTTGTTGAACAATTCAGACTTGAATTGGAATCCTTTCCCTCCATGAGTTATTATTGGACTTTGGGCAATTTGTATACACTTTTAAACTTTGGTTTCCTCAGAACAGAATTTGATAATAATACCTAACTGCGAAGGTAATTATAAGGCTCAATTTTACTAGATGCTTTGAGTAAGAATTTAGTCCATAGACATAGCTGGGGTAAAGCAAAAATCTGTTTCTTTTTTTTTTTTCCTTTCCTCTATTATTCTATCCCTAATTCCATCACATCCCTTTATATAATTTTATAAAAAAGATTATGTAAATTTGGATGGCTTCATTTTAATACAAATTTATTTTTGAACTAGAATCTTGGATAAGCCACCAAATATTTCTGTACTGTAGATTCTATACAGATATTATTCTGGATTGGAATGATACTTACTAGCTGCCTTTAGTTACAGTCCCCTGATTTTGACTATGTAATTTCGCTGTCCTAAACAGAGTTGAATGTAATTCTATATGCATTGCTTTCTTCTGCATACCAGGTAAGAGATTTCTTTTGATTGGATTTTAATCATGTTTAAGAGTAAAATAATCTCTTAAACTGGCCCCAGAAAACATTCACTCTAGCTTAGATTCTCAGAGGCGATGAAAATATCTGTAAAATTTCTTCTTTAAGCTGAGCTGGTCACTAAACCTAACCAAGATGAAGGTGGCTCAGTTTTCCAAAAGGCGTGTTAATAAACACAGGCATTAGTTACTTCTTGTTTCAGATTTCAGAAATATATCTCATGCTTTTTTTGTTTGTTTGTTTGTTTTGTTGAGACAGAGTCCTACCCTATGCTCTGAGCAGAGTGCAATGGCATTGTAGCTCACTGCAACCTCAGACTCAGGCTGTGGGCATCCTGCTGCCTCAACCTCTGAATTACAGGTGCTCGCTGCAGCACCCAGCTGGGTTTTTACACTTTTTTCATGTGTTGGGGTCTTACTCATGCTCAGACAAGCCTCGCACTCCTGAGCTTAAGCGATCCTCCCACTTTAACCTCCCACAGTGCTGGGCTTATAGGCGTTAACCACCACTCCCAGCTATTTCATACTTTTCTATTATAACTTTTGCTTACCATGGAGCTTTCCTTAGCCAACTCAAAAATCATTTCAAAGAGGCTTAGTTTCTTCACCTGTAAAATGGTACAAACACTACCTAATTCTTAGGGCTATTGTGAAGTAAAAAGAAAACAATAAACAAGAACATTATTTAATGGCTAGAAAATACTGAATTTTCAATATTTGTTTATTATGATAGATTATCATTATTGTTATTTATCTTACTTTATTTAAATAAAGGAGGTCAAAAACAAACATATAACTGAAAACATTCAGGCCAAGGTTCTATATTAAGCTAGGGCAGCAATGAAATAGTAGTAGTCCATTAAGATACCAGGGTGACAATAAATTTCATGTTTCCTTTTTTCCCAAGGAGCTCAGCACTTTCTGTTTCTGTATCCTTATCTCATTAATTCTTTCAGCCTCTCTAGTGTGGCAGGTGGCATTATTACAACTAAAAATTTACTTGTACAGACTTTATAAGTGTCTAATATTAAAATATGAAAAAATGTGGCTATCAAGCTGCAAAAAGAAAGAAAAGAACAAAAAAAAAGGAAATAAAAAGAAGTAAAGCAAAGAAAGAAGTAAAAAGAGAAGAGAAAAAAGAGAAGAGAAGAGAAGAGATGAGATCCTGGGACAGGAGTTATGCTTGGCTTCCTCTGAGAATTAAGGTTAAATCCTAAATCATACACATAATTTAAACAAAAATATTTTGCTGACTATCCTTCACTGACTTACTAAAGGGAAATAACCATTGTGGTGATGCCAGTAGCAGTCTGACTCGGAGAGAAGCTCTTAGAAGCTCTTAGGAAAGCACTGTGGGTGTTCATCTCACGCAGGAGGCTGACATCACATGCTCAGTGATGTCATCCTAGCTGAGATGGTAACATAGGATGATTCAGGAATGTCGAGATGGAAAGCTAAGACTTCAAATGTATTTTTTTAAATAAGAATATATGTAAAAATAGCATAATTTCAAATTATAGAAACTGAGACACATTCTTTGCTGGACATGATGAAATACACACTAAACTCCAGGCTTCCCACTTGTGACCAAGAAACGGTCATCCTATCATCCTAAATATTCAAGAAATGAGTGACATTCTGGACACACCTGTCCCCTATCTACTCTTCAAATGTGTCCCGCACATCAGCTCACTTTGCCTCAAGGTTCTTATCTCTATTTACTGCTCTCTAGCAGCCTGGATCCCCCCTGCTGTGGAAGCTTGGATGTCCTGTCCTTAAACAAAGTTTCCCTAGCCAGCCTAACCACGGTGAGCATATTCTCGCATTTAGTTTTATTATTCATTTATCACATCACTCTGTGTATTTTATTTAGGTTCCTTTTCATGACCTCAACCTGAAATCCTATCTGTTTTTTTCTTTTTCCATTTTTTTGGTAGGTATATTTTGGTCTTGCCTCACTAAAATATAAATTTCATGAGACTAGAGGATTTTTTTGTCACGTATACCACTAATTTGAAATACTGAAATAGTACATAGTATGTACTCATTTCATATTTCATAACTAAAAAAGGGGTATATCATTTAATGACCAATTGGCTTTCATTTTTGGCAACATAAGAAAATCAGGGGAATATTTCTGACCCATGGAGAATGTTTAATACTGTTTTCTATAATAGGTGTTGAATTATTAATTCCTTTCCTAAAGGAAAGTTTGAGGCAACGATCCCTATATTTTATTTAAAAATGTCTAGACATGAGATTTTGTGTAGAAAAACGTTTTTCGCAAACTCAAAAGAAATGCTCAGAGTTGGAGGACAGGAAGATGTCTATGAGCCCACGATCACTGGAAACTCTACTCGCCTCCTTGGCAGTGCAGTATGGATAGAAAAAGGCTTCAGAAGAAACACATTTAATAATCTCAGACCAGCATTTTGAGTCTTACCATAGCCCTGTGCCATAGGCTTGCCATGGACACAGCAAAGTGGCCACCCAGAAGAAGTTACATGGCAAGGATGATTGCGTCACCCTGGTAACCAGTGTGGGAAATGAAAGAGATTGGTGAGCCTGCCTGATACCTTGATGTAAACTAAGCTTCTAGAGAAGGATTTCTTAAATCTTGGCACTATTGGCATTGTGGTCTGAATAATTCTGGTTGTGTGGGTCTGTTTGTGCGTTGTAGGAAGTTTAACACCATCCACTAGCTTTTACAATCACATGCAGTAGTACTCTCCTAGGTCATGACAAGTAAAATATCTCCAGAAATTACCAAATATCCCCTGGTAATTGGAGGAAGGAGGAATCAACCCTGCTTAAGAACTACCACCCTAGAACTTTGGCTTACCTGGCCCAACATACATGGTAGGCATAAGGAGAGGACATTTAAAGTTCACATGAGCAGACTTAAAGCTAATTGGAATTTAAAATAGGTTATGTGAACTGAAATTTATACCCCATTATGGCAACAAGGCAAAAGAGGGCACTATTTATTCATTTTAGTCTTAACCAAATTCCTGGAAGAAGATATCAGAAAATTTATGAAAATGAAATTTAAAAGTTGTTTGCTATCTTCAATTTAGTTTCTAAAAAATTATAAAAAATAATTGTATATAGTATATGAACGATGTCCACAAAGTATCCAGCCATGTATTTTTCATATGCTCATTGGATACTTTCTGGACGGCCCCACTATAGTTATGGAATGCAATATGATGTTTACAACAGTAT